GTCAAAGAATGTGATGCTTAAATGCCACAGGGGCACGGCGCATCGGGGCGATGTTTTAAGGCATTGAAGTGAAAATTGAATGGAGGCAACTCCTGGTGCTATGCCACTGTCGCCCTCTGTCCTTGTTCTCGGCCAGTTGCCAGCCGTAATATTTATGCGCAGACGTTGCTCAATAAGCTGCTCAAGGATTTATTAGCCAAATGGACAGATTTGACTGGCTGACTGGCTGTGCGGCTGTGTGCCTGTGCCATATGTGAAGGTTGTCGCTAGTCCAACTCGGCAGTGGTCTTTGCCTTAAAGTGCACCGAGAGAAATTCAATTCGAGTTTAGATTCGAAAATGTGTTTGTTCTTCTTTGTAATGTATTTAATCAGTAATAATTTATTAAATCCTTAATTATACTAGAGAGTAGTATAGAGAGGGTTTTATAATTTTAGCTAAGTGTGTTTGTCAACAGCCGAGTTGATATAGATATATTTTCAATATACGTATGCTTACATTTCCGGTAAATGGTTTTAAATATTGTTTAAAAGTCGATATTACGAACTTGGGGGGTATAAACCTTTAAGATTTTAAGTTTCTTTCTCTTTTAGTCTACTGAATAATATATATAAGCTTTTGGCAGTGTAAGAACTTTAACGCCAAATTATATATTTTCATTGTTTGATACTCAACAAATGCTATGTATCGAATGTTCCTGCAGACTTTGAGCCAACTGTTTGATAAATGCTTTCAAAATCTTTGCATTGAATGGCAATTTTTCAAGATTTACAACTTGAAACAGAATGCGAGTGTAAGATAAGCAGTGGCCAACCCGAATATCAGAGTGGGTATTCAGAAACAGCTGGTCAAGTTTAACAATGAACTTTGGTATACTGCAGCTAAAGCCCATTTTCCGTTTGCTTGTCTAACGGAGCTTAAGTGGCCCGCAGGCTTGACCTCTCGAATTTTCACGACAACGAGCATTGCTAACATTTAAGCAATATCGTTTTTGTTTTTTTTTTTTGATTCTATTATTATATATTGGATGGCAGTCGCGCTGGTAAAAGGTTACAATAATGCTTAAAAGCAGAGTAGGTCTAGCCATGTTTTAAATAGTCAAAATCATTTCATTGGATTATTATGAAGCTCATCGGTGCTTCTGCATCTGCCATATAAATTGTAGGTCTCTAAGGTATAGGAGCCTAATAAAAATAGTGGTACCAGATTATTGCTAGCAAGCTTCGTATGCAACAATGGTCGGGACAAAAAGTAACAGATAAGTCTCTCATTATTCGGAAACGTTTAGCTCTACATTGCTACGGCTCTCTAACGTGACTCTTGGTAAAGTTGATGGCAAATCATTTCTTAAATTAGTATTTTTAAAGTCAGACAAATCTAATTATCAAGTCATTGGTGCCTGACGAGCAATCAGACATAATATTTGTTGTTTATTATATAGTGTTTGCATTTTTAGACGGATTGGTTTCAAACCAATATCGCTTCAACTGTGCACTCCAACAAAAGTTTTTCGCTATTTTTCCTGTACCGTCCATAGAAAAAGCTGCCTCCAATCCGGTAGTCACCCAGGTACAAAAACGATGGAACCAGATTTCCATTCAAATGCCAATCCCGCAGGTAGTAGTAACCCGTCTGTATGGGACAACTCGTGGCAAAGTTTCCAACTTTTAGCATGGTGACGAACCAGCGACGATAAAGTGATTCTTGCGAGCCTTTGAGTAAAATGCAGTAATTTATATCATGCTGAAATATGCTTTGATATGATTTGCTTTTGGACACACGAAATTCAAAACTCAAATGGGCCTTTAGACCAGCATTCAGTATCCTTACAAGAGTCATGTCCATTTTCACTTTACCATTAACGATCTGAAGTGTGAAATTGGAAAAAACATCTCGTTTGTATGTACAGTCTCCGGTTTTGAAAACCATTTTGCTTGCCTGTTGATTATTTTAAATTAGATCATTTAGTGTTTCAACAATATTTTTTACGGTATATACCAAAATAGAAGTTGTTAATCCTAATAAAGCTATTGCTATAAACAATTTAATGGCCTTTGAAAACATTGCGTGTGACGCGACTGTAGACTTTGTTCGTAAACTGTTTAAATAATTTTCACAATGGTTTGGCGAATGGAATTGAGCTAAGTTTACTGATGCGTAACTGCTATATACATATATAAGCGGCACATTAAGAAGGCTTATTGTTTTTATACACTAACACAGATAATATGCTAATATTACCAGAACTATATTTCCTACAAATTGTTACTATAATAGATATATGACATAAGTCCGATGATGACAAGATTTTGCTCATGCATTCGTATCAAATCTTTACTTTGATACTCATCGGAGCCAGGTATGCCAAGTAGTTTTCTTAATAACGAAAAGTTAATTTGTGGTATTTGATATAGTTATCAGATCGGGTGGATCCTGACAGTAGTATAAACTCGCTGCATGTATGAATGTTAACATATAAGTATAAATGTATATTTAAGGGCCTTTACACCAAGGAACATAGTATCTTTTTAACTGAGTAATCTCTACTGGGATATTTTTTAGCAACATGGCATGCCCTAATTATGAATACTGTTTTTTTATACCGAACACAACCTTAAAAAAATTTCCAATTACAAAATAATATTGACTTCTCGTGCCCACACTGTCTCCCCTGCTCCACTCTGTCCCCTGCCATTCTTTTTAAAAGTTTCGTCCAGTCGTCTTTAAACCAATTTTTGAGACTCCATATAAGGAATTATTAAATATATTTTCTGCGGCTTAGCAAATTTTTCCCGTAAGCTGGGCTGCAGGTATCCCAGACGTGAAGTATATGAGTATAGGAAGCTTTATAGTAAACTGTTTTCTAATTCGTATGTACATATTGTATTAAAATGAAAGTGTCTTATACGTTTAAGTATTTTTCTTCATCGCTTGTCCCTGAAGGTAGATGCACTTCAACTTCTTACTGTCTTAGGTGTTTATTTAAATGTATCTTTAATTTAATGACAATATGTCAGTAACTGATTTTTAGTAAATAATCTAAGATAATATAAAGTACCTATTAAATAGTTTACATGGCAAATGATACAGTTCTATAACTCTAGTCGGCCTCTAGTCGATAATTCCCATAACATTTTGGACACTTTTTTGTAAAAGTACATCCAAATTGAATTAGACACATGTGCCATAAACAGGAATATTTTTTTTTATATTATTTTTACCCTCCATTCCTTCAACCATTCAATGGCTTATGCGGTAATCGTAGCATCAGCGCTGCAGCTCATTATGAAGACTTCGTCGGCGCTTTTGTACCTGCCATAGAAATTGTAGGTCTCTAAGCGATAGGAGCCGCCCGAAATAAATGGCGGCACCAGATTATTACCAAACTGCCAGCCTCGTAGGTAATAATGGCCGGGACTTAAGGGGCACTGTCGCAGAAAGTTACCATATTTAAGAAGGTTCATGTACCACTTCTTGAAAAGATTGTTCTTGTACACGTTCACAATATTACACACATTTACACTCGTTGAGAATATGCTCTGAAAGCTCTTGGAGTTAGGCACCCGAAGCTGAAAGTCCAGTCTAGCATACCAACCCTTTATTAGCGGTTTCTTTAGAAACATATCTAAATAGACCTTGCCATTGTCTAGTACGAAGGTAAAGTTATCAAAGTAGTCACGGTTGAAACGGCTCTCTCCTACTGTCAACGTTATGTGTTTCTGCAAAGAAGTGATTAAAACTAATACTATATATTTTCATTTAATAACTTTAAGATGACTCACAGCCTTCACCTTGTTGGCGCGAAGAGCTAGCAGGAATATAAAACACCAGACAAGTCTCTTAACGTTCAGAAACATTAAGCTCCACATTGCTATGGCTCTCTCACCTGACTATTGTTAAAGTTGACTGTAAGCTAGTTCTTAAATTATTATTATATATTTTTAGAATCAAGCGAATTCAATTATCTAGTCATTGGTGCCTGACGAGCAATCAGACATAATATATTTATTAAATATATTTACGAACGAGTGGGTTTTGTGTCAAAGCAATATCGCCTCAACTGCGCACTCCACGCACATTTTTTCGCTACTTTTTCTGTACCTTCCATAGAAAAAACTGGCTCCAATCCGGTAGTCACCCAATTACAAAAATAATGGAACCAGATTTCCATTCAAATGCCAATCCCGCAGGTAGTAGTAACCCGTCTGAATGGCAAAGTTTCCAACCTTTAGCATGGTGACGAACCTGCGACGATAAAGTGATTCTTGCGATCCTTTGGTTGCCTGTTGACATTTTCATATTTTTTTGGATTTAATAATAAACATGTTGCTATAAATTGATTAATCTGAAAACATTGCGTGTGACGCCGCTGTAGACTTTGTTTGTAAACAACAATTTTTAGCAATTTTAATGAGTTTTCAAATTGGAGTCGATTACGAAAATGACCAACGTGTAATTGCTGTTAGCTTGTATATTAATAAATGGCACACTAAAAAGGCTTCTTGTTTTTATACCCTGAACATGAAACCAATCGAGTAAGACTATTATAGTCATTATTGGGTCTGTGTAATATTTTCAGGCATATACCAAATCGCAAGGCTGTTTCTTTAAATTGTGGGGGAAATAGGCGGAGGTATCAAGCAAATGAATTACAAATTTGGTTCCATTCTAATCATTCTCGAGCTATGCCTTAATACCTGCAACAAAAAGGAAAACGCATCCAACGTTGTATTCCTTTCATACTTGCAGACTAGTTTGCAAAAGACCTAGGCTGATAGGCGTGTCTTTATTGTCTCGGCTATTGGTACTGCTCAAGACGGAGACCTCTCATGCTAAGCAGTACATATTTCGAAACCATATTATAAAACCTTTTGAAAGAAATATTACTAAATTGCAGAAACAATGGGCAAGTATGTTTATTAGTGCATTATTACATTCAGCATTAATAACTGATGCCCTTTACAATTTTGTTAAAGTTAACATCACACACCAATTGTATAGTTAATCTGTTTTCAATATTGCGAAGATAGTCATGTCCAATACAAATTCCTCTTGCTTTGTCTTGAGTTTTCCAAAAAAGAAGTGAGAAGAGACACGATAATCGCCCGCGTACAAGTATTGCGGCACCAGTTGTGAGTCCAGCTTCCAGTTCCGCAGAAAATAATGACCCTCAGGGACTGGACAGTTGAGCATGAAGTTGCCATGATTCAGCATGCTCTTGAACCAAGTTTTGAAAATATTATTTTGGAGTGCCGAAACAATTCCACAAGTGTCTAAAACATGGGCAAATACGCGCTGGTAATGCTTTGCTTTGCCCAAACTTATAGAGAAGTCGACATGCGATTTGAACCCGCGGGTTAAAGGCTTCTTGATCATCATGTCCAGATTGAGCGTGTTATTGATGATGTTCATGGTGAAGTTTTCGAAATAGTTGGGGTTGTACTTATACTGTCCGTTTTGGATGAGAACGCTAGACTTTACTATATATAATTAATTGAAATCCTCTCGATTTACAATAAGAACTCACGGCTTCGGCGACAGACAGCTGATTAGCCAAGAGTAACAAAATGATTTTAATGCCATAAATGTAAATTATGAACATTTTTATATCAACGACAATATTAAAATGATCTTTGAAATATGTGTTTCTGGACATGAGACTATGGACTAAAAATTCCAACAGTTGTTTGGGCTAAGCTAATTTTAATTGCCTTTCGCAAAATTCAAATTAGGGGTAGAATCAATATTATTGAAAATAACTAGTAATAGGCTCCGAGCATAATTGTTTATTATTGTAAATAGAACTACATTGATTTAATTTCAACTTCAAGCCTACAGTCAAGTAAAAAATCCGGATGTCTTTTTTCCTTCTTGCTCTGAAACAGCTTTGTAGTAATGCGATAAGCGCCGGGCGGAAAAAACGATGGAATATCAAGTTCAGAACTATTGTAATCTCTTATGTAGTAATGGTTCTCTGGAAATGGGCAATTTCGAAAAAAGTTACCATGAAATCTGAATGATGATATCCATTTCTTAAACATATTGCCTTTTCGGTTGCTCAGAATGTTACACATGTCTAGAGAGTATTGATAAAAGCTTTGATAGGTGTTCGATTTATATTTGCGGGTGAAGAACTCCATATTAAGCCGTAAGCCCGAGTATAAGGGACTTATAACGTCCACATCCAAATTCATCTTGTCATTCGTCAAATCTACCGTCAAGTTACGCAGATAACTTCGATTATATTCATCACAATTAGGCGATTTGGAAAGAACAGCTTTGGTCATCTATAAGAATAACGAAAGTACGAATTTTTTTTTAAGAATTCTTTATATTTACCATAGTTGCACGTTGGATGAGGCACAGAATAATCGAAAGTTCTGCTAAATACTTCATATTTTCAACTTGTTGTGAAGAATTTCATAGCAGAAATGAATCAAAATGTCGATTGATAAAGAAAATCAACTTGAACACACATATGGCAATTTTTCGCCAATTGATTGTTATAATTGATGTTTACCGAAAATACTGATTATCTGAATAATTGTATTTATTCACTTTTATGTTTTGTATTTTAATAACCCACAGCTGGCATTTTTTGCGATGTAACAGGTTGAACTGTTGATTCTGATCAAGAATATACTTGTATATAGTATAATTGATGGGGTATGAAATATCTTATCTAATGCATTACACATTACCAAAGCCACAAAGTATTCGTCAGAATTAGATTCATTTTTTGTGTAAAGCCATCAATTTGTAAGTTGTTGTATTCTGAATATGTGCTATAATTAGTGAAGGGACTCTCATAAAAAGTAAATAGACAAACTTAAAAAGTTTGCACTGAAACTTTTGAACACTGCGCAATTGCAATTAAGAGTTTATAACTTCCTCAATAAGTTAAATAATTAACAAACAGTCAATTGCTCAAAACCCGCAGCCCAATAGCAGCGGCAGCCCCATAAATCAAATAAAATGCTCACGAAATCAAAGCGGTTGCCACCTCGCAGTCAAAAGCGCATTTAAAATTCGCAAACTGTCAGAGGGAATACAATAAACACGACGCAAGTCAAAAACATTTCATTGCAAATATATTGAATATTAATTTTTTGCTGTCTCGTCTGTGCCGTGATGGCCCATTTGACGGGCCATTTTAATTCAATTTGTGAAATTTGGCAAAAATATGCAAAATACGAGTGCTAAAAAATATGAACAAAATTGTTCATGACAAATGACATGATAGATATATATCGACAAAGCTAAGCTAGTTGAAGGCAATTGTATTCAATTGTTATTACTAAAAACAGAAGATAACTTCAAGAATTAAATAGAAAGTTCCCAAAATATTTCTAATTTATTAGCTACCATACAAGTTGTGTATTATATAGGTTTCAGAGATCGGAACAGAGCCTAGTTGTATATAATAGAATAGAACAAGGTTATATTGGTTTTAAGCAATGACCGACTTGTTATCCGGACGTGTGTTTGATTTCTGTCTGTGTGAACGGAATTATATTTATGGATATTAAAGCTATATGATCGTGTCTATCTGCCTGAGAGAGCTTACTTTCTTCTGCGACGCCAGTTAGCAGAGTGCAATCGGCGAAAAGCTTTATTTCCCAACGTCTGAGAGCTAGAATCCAGTAAGTACGTTTTACTCGAGTGTGCTCGACTACTGTCCTATACGAGAATCTACATACCAAATTTGTCTATCTAGCTCACATAGTTTTTGAGTTATGCTACAAAATTCAAAATCAATTTTTATTGATATTTTAAAGGTAAGACAATATATCGATAAAAACTGATAAGCACGTTATGTGTATGAGATCGGACATGCCTACTTCCAGCTAAAAGCCAAAGTATAACAACAGCTGCCATTGCATAGATATATTTCCCTCTTTCGACCACTCTCATCTTGCACCGAAATTATGCATGTATTTGTTTATACAATTTTAAATATAATTATTTATTTATATTTAAAAAAAATATACCTTGTCCCTTTTTATTTTTAGAAATAACATCAAGATGCATTATGACTACTCATAACGCGGTAAGTGTCCATCATTACTTTATTTTACTTGTATTTTCTTTTTGACTTTTTCAAACCGACATAATTAAGTTAAAGAGTCAATCTCAAACTTTCTTCGAATTTTTACACACTAAATAATAAAAGCAATATCAAAATTAATTATGGATGTATATAGGTAATTTAATACCTGGCCTTTTTCACCCGTTTCCTGCTAGCAGAAATTTAAAATTTTGTAAACAAAAAAGTTGCACTCGTTTGTGGGTAGTTTTGCCACACTTTCGATCTGAATTCACAAAATCTTTGAAACACGTATTCATAAAAAATGACCAAAACGTCGCCCACAAATCATTGGTGTTCATTTCCACCAAGAAGGATTAAATTTCTAAAACTTGTGATATATATCTCATGTGAATTGGATTACAACTCTAACTTGAGGCCTTTATTTTTCATACTGGCGGGTGGAATTACCCGAGATTCCATCTCCTTTATTCTAAAAAATACGGTAAATCGCTTTACACTCGATTTATAGGGGAATTTCCTGATAAAGAATATTATAACTTATGAGGGGTGGGAGACGGTTTCTTTTTTCTACACTTGCAAGAAATTGTGCCCTTTTAACTCGCTCCATTGCGTACAGGGTATATAAATTTTGAAGCCTGAAAACTCGGAAGATATTCTATAAATGAGAGAACATGTTCTAAAGGTGTTGTTTGCGCTTATTAGCAAATGTATTGCTTTTTACTACATTTAGGAAAAAATTGTAAGACAAATTTAAGAAATACCATTGAAACATTGAAAGTGCTTGTTAAAGAAAGAAACGGGTTAAATTGAAGTTGCATGAATTATTTGGTTTAGCTCGTCTTGGGCAGCATGGCGAATATACCGGGCTTTAGGTTGCTGACATCCTGAACATTGAACTCGCCAGTAATGTGATCGTTCATGATAACCGTGCGCTTCTTGCTGGCATCCAGATGCAGGGCCTCAAACTGAATATCAAACTCGAGTTCAGGCAGAATGGCCGTTGTTGGATCTTCTGGCCACCAGAACTTGTTGATGAAGTATGAGCCCTGTAATTTGCGATTAAAGCGTAAGTGACGAAATCTGTATTTGCCCTAAAAGAGGCGACTGTATAATATACGGAAGCCTGAACGCACACAACTGGGACTCACCTTGGCGATCGGACAGCTCTCAACAATGTTGCCGTATTCACGTATGAAACCGTGCACAAAACGGCCCACTGGTGATTTGTTGGCAAAGCCGAGAATTCGGCAAACATTCATGGTGGTGTTCAGAGCGGTTGTGTAGTATGGATCCAGTTTGTTAGTTATACGCACTTCCAAGTGCACATCCACATCGTGCAGCTCCTGGTGCACTTCCATGGAAAAGTTCAAGTGCGGATCCGAATTGTCGTAGGTCACCTTGTGGCTCACCATCTTCTCATCACTCCAGATCTTGATGTCCTTGAACTTAGGCCGCATCATTTTCTGACGAATGCAAATTGATCTCTTAAAGAGCAATCAGGAAACGATTATATTGATCACCCACCTCGGCCAAACCGCCATGGCAAAGGGCCAAAAGAATTTGCAGCAAAATGACACTATTCAAAAACATGACTTATGATGTCTGTCGATTGTCAAAAAGCCCCCCGGCTTATATAATGATGGGAAACCATCACCAAAATTGCAAATATAATTTTGAATCGATGCTATCGGAAATATGGCTTTAAATAAAATGCCTGAATGGTTTCCAAATCATTTCAAAGTCAGATAAACACTTAGTCGACTCAATTTGCCATGGCAATGTGCGATTTGATCAGACTTTTTAATGTGCACAACAATTTGGGCTCCATTGACGCTTGACCCCTGATCATTGTTATATTATGACTTATGTCTAATTGAAAAAAAGTCAGTAAATAATTGAATCAAGATGCGTGCACAGTTGTACCAATTTTTCCACGTTCTGGCACTCGTGCTATTAACAAGCTTTCCTGTGGCTTTGGGATGGGTAAGTTTAGAGAGTCGACAACAAAATTGAAAGTTTCCTTCATAAAATTTGAAGTTGTAGTTGTGGAAATTGATGCGTTTATAAAGATGCACAGACGGACATATTCTGCCTGTCCTTTTTAGCCATTTTCAATGTCTTCAGGGTATAAGCAGCTTTCTGTTTTTATTTTGAAGATACTCTCATTTGTTTTCAGCGCTCGTTTAAGATTGTTTTTATGCGCTTCGACTACGAGGCCAATCCCAAACTGGTGGACGTGAAAATACAATTGCAAAACAATAGTGAAAGTTCATTAAATGTTTTTATCAACACCTTGGAGATCATGGACGATATTGAGCTGTCAGCTAGCTTTGCTTTAGAGACGCAGCCGGGTAACTTCACTAATCTCATCAGTACGACCCTGAATTTTTGCAGGATGTTAAAGGAACGCGACGGGGAACCTTTGGCACGCATAATATACCAGGATTTAATGCGTCATGGAAAATGGTTTAAAGAGTGCCCCATACAGAAGGACACCTACACGCTGCAGGATTATGCAGTGGATGAGGAATTGCTACCCAGCTATTTGCCAGAGACTAACTTCAAGCTAAAGCTACGTTTAACCCAGCCGAAGAGTGTTCAGATATTCAAGGGTACGCTTTTTGGACGAGTTGATAAGTCCAAAGGTTTCAAAAATCTTAAAATGTTCAGCATGGGCTAATTGAGCCAGTGTTTGAATGCACCATATTGTGGGTGTTCATGTACTTAATGTTCAATAAAGGTGTCTTGAATGTTATAAATTTGTCAACACTTCGTTCTTCAATTTAAATTATAGTCATCGTGCAATATGCGTACAATATCTCCAGTACTGTCTCTGCCTGCTCTGTTTGTCTGATTTTAGTATGCAAAATGGCTTTTGTCGCACAATTGACGTCATTGTCGGCTATAAGGCGTCATCGTCATTGGGTAGTCGGACACGTTGTCCTCACCAGGCAGTGGCAGCGGGAGCGAAAGCGGCAACGGCAGTGGTAGAGTCACCTCCATCGTCACGTGTTTGCCTGCTCGACTGCGAAATTCGCATGTTTACCCGACGGTGACAAGCTGTCTGCAGGCAGCGAATTGATGACGCTGATAATAGCCACCAACGGCCGGAGACTGGCGGAGACGTTGGCGGAGACGAAAACGGAGACGGAGGCCAAGACGGTGATGTACCCCGATGAGAAACAGCCGACAATGATTTAGAGCGATTTTGTAGCATGTCATGTGTTTGGGGGTTTGAAGCACTCATGTGTTGATTGGACTGATATCGTTAGGAGCATAAATTAAGGGTTAGCGGCGATGTTTTGGCTACAGTTGTTGTAGCTAGATACAACAGAGACGATTTCATGTTAAATAACGTCATGCAGTTAGCCAGAATCTGATCTTATGAGCTGCACATTATTCATGGAGCATTACATTGTTAACCAAGCCACGTAATGGAGCCTACGAGCAAGATATATAGAAATGCTCGTAAAGTTTGCCGACTCTTTTCAAACATAATAAAAACTTGCAAATAGTTGATTACTTTTCTTTCTCTCTTTGCACATTTAAAATGTATTTCAGAAAACAAGCAACAAGACTGAAGAATGTGTTGAGGAGGGTGTGCAGCAGCAGGCTTTCTCGGCTATGTTCTATACTTTCTGTAATTAAGGATGCACTGCACATCTTTTAAACCAAAAGTCGTTGACAGCACAGTAATGTCTCGTTAAGTCTCGTGAGTCAGCGGCAGACAGCGCAAAAAAAAGGAAAAATTAATTTATCTAAGCTCACGAGTGCCCGCATAAAGACGGCTATAAATTGTCGCACAGGCTTCGAAAAGTGCAATAACTTAGAAAAGTGCGAATTCTCATACATATATTGTACATATATATGTCTACAGCTCACTTTTTTTTTTATATTTCAAACCTTCTCTTCACAGTTTCGAGCTCATGTCGAACCTTATTTGAATAATAGACGAGCGGCATTTGTCTCTGATCCATCCTATTTCCCAGACCCGCTTCTGTTCAAATTTTTATTCAAGGCGGCATTGATTGCCTTATATATAGTTTTATTATTTGTACGATGGTTGTTATAATTTTGTCACGAAATGTGTAACGCATGAAAGAAATCAACACGAAAACCATTGAATACATATCCACGTTATTTGCTTCAGTTTCTTTACCATTATGTTCCTCTGAATTTGTGCAAAAAAATCGGGAGAAATTTGTTTCAGAAGTTTCAAGGATTTCCTTTTTTCAGAAATAGACTAACTAGGTCAACTATTAACTAGTGTGCAATATTTTTAATTTACTTAAATGACAGGTGTTTTTTCCTTTTTTCGGCCGATATAATAATATTTATTAGTTGTCCTGATTAGCATGTTAATTTCAATTGTAATTGTTTTCCTTTTACTAAGATGCGGACACAACAATCGAAAACTTTGCAGACTGGGAAATAAGTTGAAAGGAGTCTTCGTGGATATTTAAAGCAATTATTTCCTTTAGACGAATATTCTACCTTAGATCTTTGGGGATCTCAGTACACCTTTCTCACTTGTCGCGGCTCCTACTAAATGTGGACAAAATTTGTTTAAAACATTCTCAGCTGCATATATAGACAAGTATATATGGACGTTGCTGAATTTTTTTAAAGGAAAAAAATTATATTTGGGCAATTGGTCCGCCAATGACGCCATTTATGCTTGGCTTAAATTGTCCACATTAAATTTGTTACAAATAAATGTTAATTTTGTTATACCCAGCACGCATAGAAATTCGATAAAAACGGGTATAAACCCTTTATGCATTTTTATGCAACAAACAGAGGGAAGCTTCGCCGATCCGATACCATTTATGTATAAGAATTCTTGATCATGAAAGGAAGAAACGTCTGATCGACCTAAAATTTATTATTGCCCATTATCCAATATTTTCGATCCAGAATACTTAATATTTACGATATAGCTAGCGCTGTGCTGTGTTCAATATTTTTTACGGCAGCTTGCCAGAATGTCCAGGGTATCTCCAAGTACACCACTTTCGAGTACTATACCATATTTAACTTTGTTTTCTGGTTTTATGCAGGCGAATTTCAATTACTGACATTTTAATGTATTTCATTGAATTTATTTGGCAAGCTTAGCGATATGCATTTTTTACAAACCAAAATCGAATTTAAAAAGAAAAAACCAAAATAAATTAAGTTTTATTGAAATCGACTTAAATTTTATAAGTACTTAAATAGAGTTATAAAAAGTGATTAAGATCAGTTTTATCATCTATGATAATTAAATTCATCTCACATACAACCAGATGTCTACACACTATTCTATGTTGGTACAAACGACTGCGCAATACTCTGTTTACAGTGTTTTAAAAAGGTGGAAAAGAGTCTTTGGAATGTAAAAGTTGTGGGTTTTAACTTTAACCATAATTTGTTACTTAAGACAATATTGATGCTTTGTGATTGTGATTATGGGCGCGGTTAGAATATTTTTGCATCTTTCAAGCTATCTATTAAAATCTAAGGAAGGTACCGATGGGCAGGCAATCGACCAGACATAGCATTAAACCAATATGCCATGTTCAGCTTGTGAACAGAGCATCAAAATCTAAAATCCGTCTATAAATTGCGGATAAGCAAAGTTCCACTTGGAATTTCCAAATTTTAACTATGTGAGGTAAAACAAAAGCAAAACTAAACTGGAATCAATGCATTGTGAAACATTTAAGACAACCGGATCAATGGGAGCAAATTGAAATGGATTTGTAAGCAAATGAGTCGCAACCAAGTAAATTAAAAAAAAAGAAATCAAAATGTGGGTTATACATGCAAATGGGAGGATTTGAGTGGAATGAGAAATTCTATATGTTGGGGCACGTGATAGAAGTGAGGAATTCAATGCTGAGATATTTTCAATTATGTTTGCCCGTGTGGGATCTACTGAAAGCCACGTCCAGTTATTATGAGTTTATTGAACTATTGATGCCGTATGTTATGATTATATCATAATTTCTAGATGGTTGGCCAAACCGAAGCTAAGCACTAGCAACTCTTAATCGTCAGTTTCGACGACAGCTCTTCCATTTAAATGGAGCACAAATCTGGTGCTTAAGACCTTAACCTCGAAAGCGACACGCCAGCTTGGTTCTGTGGGTTATCACAGCTCCGGTCTTCTCGATTTGCATACGATCCAAAGTTTTGACCGTTTCTTTTAAAGCTTCGCAGACTGTATCTGCAGTCGAAATCGGAATCGGAATCGCAATCGCACGGCATATGAAGTTGGTATAATAATTTTTGTCACATAATTGAAGTGCCTGGCAAATGCAAAGTGCCTGGGTCGGCAAAAGCAATAAGAAAGGCGAAAGGGTGTTAGCTCTGTTTATAGTCAAATTCGTTCGCTATATACATGTATACATATATATATACATATATATATCTTATCGTGGAGTCTATGAATAGCGCACGAATTTTGATTAAACTTGCGAGTTCAATGGCATTGCAAAGTTTCTCTGAAGCGCAGGCAAAATTAAAGTTTTTTCTTTAATTTTTTTTTATTCGGATTCCGCTCAAGTATGAAAATCCACTTACAAATATTATGTTAATTGGCATAAAAAGACAGCCAGAGA